TAATATTATTAATATTTTATATATTTTTTAAATTAATATTTAACTTATCATTTGATTTATCAAAAATATAATAAAAACAATTTGATTATATATTATATATTATATGTTATATATTATTTTAATTTAATATTTGANTAAAAAAATTATAAAATAATACATAAAATATTTGTTTACAAAATAAGTTTATTTTTTCATTTGTTATATTATACTTTTGCAATTAATAATAAAATTAATATAAATTTCATATTTTATTTTTTTGACATAGGTATATATCGCAGTATTTCAGCCATTGAGAGTATCACGTCATCAATTCAGAAAAGTATTAAATTGTATGAAGATTATTCGACAATTGAAATATCAAGAAGTTTATGCCCAAGAAAAAGTGACCAAAGTTGATTCTTTATCTTTAGTACTTTCTGGAAAGTAAGTTCATATTATAAATAACTATTTATCTTTATATTTTATATTTATTTAAATTATATAGTTTATTTAAATTATAATTATATTATTTTTTAAAATTATTACTGAAGTAAGTTTATACAAATATTTATATAAATAATATAAATAATTTAAACAAACTTTATTCTTGTTTTTTAAAAAATAAAATATGAATGTTTAGAATGTTTTATATACACAGTAACAAATTAATTTAATTAATAAACTTTTTTAATTAATTTAAAAAATTTATAATATATAATATATTATATATTCAAAAATTTTATAAGTAAAATTGATATTGTTTTACATTAAAATAAATATTTTTTAAATTAAATAAAAAATAAATAGTAAAAATAAAAAAATATTAAAGTTTGAGGAAGCATAATAAATGATATAAATTGCAATATAAATTTTAATAAATAATATTCTTAATTTAAAAATGAAAGATAGTAAAAATCTAAATTTTTTAAATAAGTTTCTTTTAATATATTCCTTTAGGTTAGTAGTTTCGCAAAATGGAAGAGCATTGCACATTGTCTTCCCACATCAGTTCCTGGATTCTCCAGAATGGTTTGGTGTCTCTACAGACGAGTACTTTCAGGTTTATACATTTTTTTTTAATTTTATCTATAAAAAAAAAATTGAAAATGATTTTATCATGGAAAATTAAATTAAAAAAATTTTAAAAAATTTTTATCATGTAAGATTTTATTTTCAAAGAAGTTTAATGAGAATTATTTGAAATACTTGAAGAAACTATCCGAAGAAATTAGATTTCTTATCAAATATTGAATTATAAACAAAAGTTATACATATTCGAAACGCGCGCGCACGCACACACGCACGCACGGACGCGCGCGCGCACACACACACACACACACACACACTAAATTTG